AAAAAAAAAATTCTGGTTGATCTTTTTCATCCTTTGCCACCCACCCCACCCCCCTAGTTTGGCCAGATGCTCTCTGCTGGCTCCAGCACATAATTCATTTTTAGGTGGATGTTGCCAGAGTTACAGCATTGTGCCAGGCACACAAAAGGGTTACTTGAGCCAATACTGAATATCCTGGAATCTTGAGAGCCCAGCTATTGCCTGGTGCAGCTTGATTTGGTTTGTGCCAGGAAAGGAGCAGGTATTTCCCCCTCTGGAAGGAAGACCTGTGGATTGCTATTGCAGAGGGGTTGCACTCTGTCCCCAGCATCCTGATCTCCCGTCAGGCACATCCCTCTCACTTCCAGCACCCACCATTTTTTAACCCTAAATTGGAATGGCCAATGATAGGCCTGTAGTCAAGTGGTATTTGCAAGCACTCCATAACTTTCTTTTTTTAATGTGGTATTTATTTTTAAAGCTGACACACCAATTGAAGAATTCACCCCAACTCCAGCCTTTCCTGCTTTGCAGTACTTGGAATCTGTGGATGAAGGGGGAGTAGCATGGCAAGCTGGCCTGAGAACTGGAGACTTTTTGATCGAGGTAGGAGATCCTGAAATTTGATTCTCAGTGCTCTGTTGGGGAAAGAGTGATGTTCCCGCTGGAGAATTGACTCTGGAAAAAAGTGTGGGATGCCTCTGAGCAGCAAGTTCTGTGAGCTAACACCAGCAATGTGCTTCACTTGATCCATTTAAAACTTCATGCAGCATTCAGGAAAGCAGTGACAGAGAGCAGTGGTCAGACTGGCTGGGAATTTTCTGGTTGTTCTTTTTGTCCTTTGGGAATACACTCTCAGAGATATTTGGGAGGTCATAGTCTTCTTTCAGTTATTGAAATTTAGATGAATTTCAGTATTTATTGTGGGCTATCAGTTCTGGTTTCTTCTAAATATTTTCAGGGAGTAACCAAAATTAATGACTTTTTATGCAACTATTTCTGCACTCAGAAATATCCATGGTCTAGTGGCGTTTAGTAACCATGGAGAATAAAGCAAATTACTTTGGCTTGAAATTGCATTTTTCCAACACTACACTCTAAATACAAAAAATAAAGCAAGGATGTTATTGCAGTATAAAGTACTTTATTAAAAGGGCATGTTTAAATACTCTGTTCATTCATGCCAGAAATATCTTCATGTTTGATATTTTGAAGGATTTTTTTTCTTGGTATTTTAGTTTTGTTTAAATAGTTGGTTCTCCTTTTGAGTGTTGCTGGGCAGCTTGCAGCAAAATCATGATTTGGAATTTTTCCTCCTCTTCCCCCCACAACCTTTTCATGACCAACAAAGAGATGCTGTGGTTCTGTGAAACCGGGTATTGAAAATAGGTCTTTTGGGATGCATTGATCAAGCCTTCTCTGTAAGCTCTATTGATTTTACATTATTTGATGTGTTCTTCAGGCTCATCTATGGTTTGGTAAAATACTTCCTGGTATTACAACGTTTATTTCTGCAGAGCTGGCTTTTGCATGCGGGAGAGGGTACAACACGCAGCTTTTTTTGGAGTGTGCCTTGAACTCCCATGGTGATTGAATTTAAATAGTTGCACCACTTCCTCACACTGTAGCCGTGAAAGAACAGGCTTTGCAGGCTTCTACAGTAAATAGATGTGCATTTTTATCTCTGTCTTCAAGCACATTTCCCTTGCTGTTTGTTTACTTAAGAAGAAGCGTTTAGTGCTAAAGACCAGCTTACAAATGGAACTGCTGTGTTCCCTGGGCAGGGGTCCTTCCACAGCTCTCCCTGTTCCTCTTAGGTGGGGTTTTGAAGCAAGGCTGTATTTTTAGAGATTGGTTTCTTGTTAGGCTTTTAATCCATGGCAAGTATGAAGAGTCTGTACTGGCAGATTGCACAGATAGAATTGATGGTGAACAGTGTGCAATTCAATTCATTATGGAATGACAAATAGGCCCATGGATTTTTTTAAGGTCTCTGAAAGGGTGGAAGAAGGCTGGGTAACTGATTCTGCACAAAGCTTTACTGTTTTTTTTGGCAAATGAGAGAAGAATTATAATTAATTGTCTAGACAATTTACTCCTAGCCTTAACTTAGAAGAGCAGCTAAACATGCACATACAGTGCTGAATCAGGAGGACGTTAATCCATACTCCAGCATATTTGTAATTAATTCTGAAAGAAGCCATTATTACATGCAAATCAAATCCATTTCTGTGTAATTTATGTTCATCGGGGTTATTCCGTTCTGAATTTTGCAACTTAATTAAGAGGATATGATAATCCTGAGAAATGACAACTTGGCTGTTGCAGGAGACTTTTCTGTTGGAGAAAGGCAGGATTTTTTTTCTGTTTTGTGGCCAACATGCAGTGCACAGCCCTGGCTGGATGGAGAAAGCCATCTTTAGAGATATTTACAGTGATGCAAAAGACTGTTGAAATAGAAGTCCACCTGCACTTCTAGGAGTGCCAAACTACTTTATCTTTTGTGTTGAACGAGAAGATTTAAATTTACACCCTAGCAAGTGGTTGTCAGCCCTGGTGTAGTCAGCCTGTCTTGCTGCTAAATGATTTCTCCCATGACTCTGAAGTTTATGCCTCTGTGTGTTAAGTGCCACCTCAACCATTTGTAAGTAATATCAGGCATTTATCATAAATGTCACATGAATAATAAAAGAGTTAATGGGCAACCAGGATCCTGATTAGTGCTATTTATAACACTTGTGGCAGGGACCTGGTGTTAGGGAGGGGAGAGTCCAGTGTGGCAGGGGGCAAAAATAAGAGGCAGAGCAGATGCTTCATTCTTGCTTGAGGAGGTTTGGTGGCTCAGGGTGGTGGAGATGAGGGGAACCTCACCCAGGTTTGACAGGGAGATTGGTCCTTTCTTTGGAGAGCACGAGGGTGGGAGGAGACAGGGCATCATTTCTTTGTGTACAGTTATGGCCTGGAATCTTCTGAAGGAGGGAAAACTTCAATATCAGCCCTGAGGCATTATAATAATTTGTGTTTGGAGTTGGTATACGTGGAGCAGAACAAATAAAAGATCTGTACAAACAAGGAAGAGAAAGTGCTCCAGCAGAAAAATGGAGTAGGGATTACCTGGAACAGCTGGCATTGTATCATATGACTGAGTTTTTACCAAGTGTGCAGTTCCTGATTTGTCCAACCTGTACAACTAATTTTAACATGAGACTTCAGAGATGAACGTTACACTTGCCCTTGGAAACAGTGCTCACAGAGTCTCCATGGAAATTTCTGACAGTGTGTGGTTTGTCTCCTCCTTGCTTCAAACCCAGCCATGGCTTTTGTGATAAAAATTGTGAAGTGTGTAGTGGCTTTCCTGGATAGAGCACAGGGCTAATGTACTGGAAAAGTGCAGGAGTAGTTTTAGAGCTGAAGGAGTGAGGTAGAGGCAGCTGTCAGTAGATGTGGATTTTCATAAGCAATTCAAGAGATGCCAATTCAATGTGATTTTTTTTTTTTCTTAGCTTTGATGAACAATCAGAAAACAAGGATCGTTATCATTTAGTTGTTATAACTGAGATTTTACAGCTTGCCCTCTGTTATTTTTCACTATTTCAGTTTATGTTTTCTGGAATCTTGATATCAGCCTGATTTAAATATAGATGAAAGTAAAACAATATATTAGGCCAAAAGCTAAAAACTGCAGTCTCCATTAGAAAGGGGTTAAAAAATTACAACTATCACAAATTCCTTTGTAGGTCATTGATTACTTACCAGTGACTGGATTTCTGTACTCTAACTGCTTAAGTTTGGAAAAATTCAGAGTTCTGCCTTGAGACATGGCCAAGAATTCTTGAAGGTGGGGCTGTGCAGGACATTTACTTTGATGACATAAATAAGCCTAACCATCTTTGTGTAAAGAAATCCATTAAACTGGAAGGCCTATTGAAACTCAAAATAGAGTTTTTGGAGGGTTTTAGTGTGGTAGGATATAGATTGTCTTTTAAAATTAACCCCCAGTGGCTTATTAACTATTTGTTCTTGTCCCCATGAGTGTGCAGCTGTTCTGCAGGTGTTGCCTGATGTGGCTCGTGGGGATTTTCCCTGTCACACAAACAATAATGTTACAATATCAATACTCAGAAAGCTGAGTTAATTCTGCAATATTTTACCAGAGCAATGCATTTGTTCTCTAAATGAGGCATTGCAGTTTGCATTATTGTGCCATAAAATCTCTTATTTTTCCAGATAAATTGAAATGTTATTGTCTTCAGAATAGCATGGCTGCTTATTTACATTCCAGTTAATATGTAAACTAGATAAACCTGGTGAATTATTCATTTAAAAAATAAAAACAAAAGGGCAAAATTCAAGATTTAGTTTGAGGATCAAAACCAGAGATGGTAATAGAAGAAATGTCATCATTTTTCTGCAGAACTCTTCAGCTGGTATTTGTACTAAAATGTGCAAAATATCTGTAGTATAACTGCCTGTATTTCTCCATTCTTGAAAGCTTATACAATTTAGCAGTACGAACTTTTTCTTCAACTGGATTTGGGTGGAAAATAAATGTTTTATTACAGAAAACATTATTTTATTATTGTATTAAAGATATCTGTCGTCTGACTGCATGTAAGAAGTATTAATAAGCATTTAGGGAGACATTTTAAAAATCTGAAATATTAAAAAAACCAAAAACCTCCCCCACCTTCATAGAGAAATGGAGGTTCATATTTAGCAATAGGCTATTGGTTTTATCCCAGTAAGCACTTCATACAAACTTGAAAACTGCTGTTGAAGCAAACTTTGAACTTTATTGTTGTAGCTTAAACTCTCGTAATGATGAGTATTTTTAACAATATTATGCCTTACACTGGTATCCAGTGGCTGGGTGAATTAGTGGCTTTACAAAGCCACCGATTTTTTTGATATTACTGATTCCAATCCTTTTTAGCAGTACAGAAACCTTCCCATCCTTTGATAATCTTCATTAATTACCCTGTGGCTGCGTTTTCTCCTGTTTCTAGTGTGAACTCTGCTTGCTTCTAGCACCAGATAAATTTTTTTTTTTTTCTTGGGCAGGCTCATGGGAACCACGATACCTTTTTCTCTCTTGGGAATAAGTGGAGGCTTTGTCAATGGCTTTGTATGAACAGGAATTCTCACGTTGCAGCTGAAAGTTTGCTCCTCTTCTCCCAGCAGTGTGGACACCAGCTCCATGCAGTGTTTAATAAGAGTGCTGTGTGTAGGAGGAAGAAATCAGACCCAGCATTCTCAGCACATTTCTGAGGGCTGGATTCAGCTCTCACAATTAGGCCTTTCTGGGGGACCAGCAGAGTCAGGTCCACATTAGTTCAGTGTCTTGCAGGATGGTTTGTGTTGCCAGCTTGGCTGCTGCTCCTGCCCAGCCAGGGAGTTTGGCAGGAGAACAGCCAGGCTGGGAGTGCTCTGTTCCTAGACAGCACCTACTTGGGGTTTGGATCAACTCTACAAACCTCTTTTTAATGATGAGGGGTTTGCCAAAGCTGCAGCAGCACTGCGGTGTCTGAGCTTCTAGAGGGAGTTCCTGGCCAGGGCAGGGGATGGAACTGCATGGTCCTTGGTTCCTTCCAACAAAAACCATTCTG